AAAACTTCCTGTGCTCTCCATTCGTGGACAGAAATTAACAGGCTTTACCTGCTGCTCATTCCCAACCCGTCTATAAATCAGAGATTGGTGGAGTTTTACCTTAACCTTCCATGGACTTAGAATCAAAGAATTTTGTGATCTAACATATGTATAGTAACTCTCATCCTAGAACAATATGAACATGTAGATAAAATAATGGTAAATCTGCTTCTCCAGAATTCAAACAAAAAGACAAATTCTATCAATTATAGAATTATGTCTCTATTGCATTCCAAAGCAAATTGTCTCCAAACTTCCTCTAAGTTAGTGGTTTTCCTTTGAGACCAATATGATAAAAAGAACACCAGTAACTGGAAGTCAGAAAACCTAGTTTCAAGTCCCATAGAGGCAAATCTGGTGTTAGACCTCAATTTCCTCATCTGCAAAATGGGGAGACTATTACTCTAACTCTTATAAATTACTCACTGCTCTTCTTACTCTACAGATTCTCCTAGAATAATCTCAGCCACTCTCATGGTTTTAATTACCACCTCAAAGCTGGTGATTCCTTCAGCTATATTTATAACCCTGACCACTCTCCTTATCTTCATACCTACAAATCAAGTAATTCATATTTCACAGATGGCTCAGATCAACACATTTGAGAGTGGACTCATTCTCCCTCCACCCACCATCTACAAAGTTGCTTCCCTGCCTGAGTTCTCGTTCAATCATCCAAGCTAGAAACTGGAAGGCTTCTTGGACCACTGCTTCATCCTCTCCCTTTCTCACCAACCCATGACTTTAATCCAAAAAAAACTAGACATGACTAATCTTGTTTCCCACATGTCTCTCATGCTTCCTTTATCTCAAGGTCGAGTTAGGACCCACGTCCCCTAGGGCCTGGGGCACTGAAGCAGCATCCAACCTCTATTCCATCCTATAGTATATAGAAATATAATGGCCTTTTTTAAAATGGAAAACTGTCAAATCAGCCTCTGTGACTCACCTACTTAAAACCCTTCAATGGTTTCCTATTATCTAGAGAGTTAAATACAAACTTGTAAGTTATCCATTTTTCCAGTCTGATCTCCTATCACTTCTGATATATTGGCCCAAGTCCTTCTCTACAAACACTTGGCCCATGTTGTCCTCTCTGCCTAGAATGTCCATTCCAAATTCCTTCTCATTTAGCTGATTAGTACTTGTTATTTAAGATGCCACCTAGGGAACACATTTTCCCCCTTGGTCTGCATGTTCTACTAAATAATTATTGAAAGTATATTTCCCATGTCTTTAAAACTAAACTTACAAAAATTTCCACTTATAAGAGACACTTTCTGATTGTGGATCCTGAAAAACAAGATAGCAACTAAAAAGGGCTCCTGATGGCTAATTGGATTCAAATTTTAAAATATATACTAGTATAGAGAGAGAGCCCAGCAGCCATTTCTACACAGGGCCTCTCATGCAAACTGCACTTCAGGCAGAAGCCTGCACTGAACGGCCTGCCTTCACTGTGTTTCTGCCATCTGAGCCAGGAGTTCCTGAAATCCTATTTTGACCAGTAGGACTGAAGCTTTCCCCATTCAATCAGAGCTCTGCAGCTATATCCCACCCCAACCCCCCATCAGCTTCTTTGCCAACCAATCAGGACAGTGCCTTTGGGGCCAATCAAACTGCAAGGATTTGCATGAGGACAGACCAATAGGGACCAAGGACCAGGGCGGGGGACTTCGGTCTAAATAAGTCAGCTCCCCTCTGGCTCTGGGAGCACACTTTTCCTTTCCACTGAAGAATGCATTTCCCAGGCTGAGCTGAAACACTGAAGATCTCTTGCTGGAGCAGACTAGGGAGGAGCAGAGCAGAGCTGTCTCATCAGAGAGGGGTCTGAGTGCAAGGCCACCTGGCCCCAAAGCAGTCTCACAGCCATGTTGTTTTCACAGCCTTGCTCTATCACAGTTGAGCTGTTTTACACTGAATAAAGTTTCCTTCTTCACTGCACCCCTAATTTTGGATTCCTATTGGCATTGAATTGGCACCAATGTAACATCACAAGAGGCTGTTGTTATGGTAATAACTCTACATCACAAATATGTGCTGCTCTATCAGTTGATCCTTATCAGGAACACAATGAGATGGACAATGCTGATATGCGTGTGTGTGTGTGTGTGTGTGTGTGTGTGTGTGTTTTCTTGAACACCTATTCCATATTAGCCACTGAAATGTGTAAAACTGGTAACGACTGAAAGGAGGGCCCAATGGTTTGAGGAAAAGAACATGGATTTCAGAAGAGAACTGGGTCTGGATTTCAGCTCCAGCCCATCTGGCTTTGTGATATAGGCTAAGGAATTTAATAACTCTCAGAGATTTATGTTCTTAGCCTAAATCTTTGCTGAGTACTATTTTAAATATTTACATTTATAAACAATGCTGAGACTTTTAGTGAATTAACAATGTTTATTATAATGGCCAGAGCTAGAGCTACAAAGACTAGGCCATGCCCCATGGCAGCTCACTAAAATAGCCTAATGCAACAAATCAGAGTGGATGCAGGGATTTGCCACCTGTTCTCTCTTTCTTTAGGCCCTAGCTATGTATCTAACCCCTGCAATAGTCCAGCAATTCCTTCCCTTTTTACTATACTTACCTTCATAATTAAGCTTCTATGTTCCACAGACTGACTAAAATTTGTGCCCATTTCAAATATAGTTGTGATTCCATCCTCACATAAATTCATCCAGTAACGATATTCCTCACGCCCAGGAAATCGATCCCAAAAAGTCCTGAAGGCTTCCCAGACAGCTTCTTGACATACTGAAAAACAGATGGACAGGTGTTTTAACAAAAAGTTGATGCACTTTGGGGGTCACAATGATCATGGGCCTGTTTGTTCAGATTCCGGAGACACTTGCCCACAGTGTCCTTTTCGGAAGGACATGGGAATGATTCCCAGTCAATGCCCTACTGTTTCTGCATGTCCTGCTTTAACTTTTCAGCTCTGAAGAGAATTTTTATTCCCCATACTTTTCCCTTGCAAAGGATATTGGTTCAGCTCCAAATATGCAGGATGTGTGTTTTTCCATCTCTTAAAAAAAAATCCATGTTTTAGTTTTACAAAAGTGGAGCTGATATTGAGCATACCTCAATAAGTAAATGGGTAAACAAATTGTGGTACATACATATGATGAAATATTATTCAGCAATAAGAAGAAATGAGCTTTCAAGCCATGAAAAGACATGGATAAGACTTAACTACTTATTGCTAAGTGAAAGAAGCCAATATGAATGTATGATTCCAACTATATGACATTCTGGAAAAGGCAGAACTATGGAAATTGTAAATAGATTAGCAGTTGCCAGGGCTTAAGATTAAGGAAAGATGACTAGATAGAGCACAGAGGGATTTTTAGGGCAGTAAAACTATTTTGTATAGTGATGTAATAGTGAATACATATTATTAGACATATGTCAAAACCCACATAATGTACAGCACAAAGAGTGAACCCTAATGTAAATTACACACTTTAGTTAAGAATAATGTGTCAACATGGAAGCTATGTAGCATGTTATTAAACATGACTGGGTTACAAAATAGACTAAGGAAGAAATAAAAAACATCCTGGAAATAAATAAAAATAAACACACAAAAACCCAAAATCTATGGGACACAGAGAAATCAGTCCTGAGAGGGAAGTTCATAGCATTACAGGCCTACCTCAAAAACAAAAAAACTTTGAATAAGCTATCTAACCCTACAACTTAAAGAATTAGAAAGAGAACAAGAAAAGTCAAAAGTAGAAGGAAGGAAATAATAAATATCAGAGCTGAAATAAATGACATAGAAACTAAAAAAAAATAATAAGATCAATAAAACCTCCAAGACCTGGTTCTTTGAAAAGATAAACAAGATTGATGAAACTCTAGCCAGACTCATCAACAAACAAAAAGAGAGGACCCAAATAAATACAATCAGAAACAAATCTAAATATGTAGA